AGCTGTAAATGATCTTTATATGACTATACCTTTTTTTTTTTTAATACTTAGTGGGAAAGGTGACTCTCCTGAGGCCCGTGCGTTGGCCAAGCAGATAGCTACATCACTTCAGAATTTACAGTCCAAGACAAACAAGGCTGTAGCAAATACCAGGCCAGTTAAAGCAGCTGTCCATTTGGAGGGCAAGATTGAGCAAGCTCAAAGGTGGATAGACAATCCTACAGTTGCTGATCGGGGAGTAGGTAAGTGTTTCTGTGTGCACTTCCCTCCACAGTTTTATGGCTAAACTTGTTAGTAATTTTTATGACTGAAACTACTGCTCCTGGGATGCTGAGGATGCGTGGAATCTCTTCACTGATGTGGAGACCTGCAGTTTGTGGCTGGAGGTTTATAGTGAAGTCCTGGCTGCAATATTAATGAGTTGAGCTGGCCCATGACTCTTTCTCTTCTGGAAAGAACAACTTTGAAGAATAGGAGAACGTGTGCTGTAGAACAGGTGAACTTTAGACTGCTCCTTGCCCTTATTATCATGCAAATATAGTATCTCAAATTTGAATTTATACCTACTTCAGCAAATTGAGTAATTAAGTCCTTCAGAGAGGAGAAAAGCATTCATAAACCTGACCTAAAAATATCACTTCTTATATGGTTTCTGGGTTATCTGAAGAGAATGCTACTTTTTAATTAAAGAGAAAGGTGATCTGAGAATCCAAGCATGGGCATATAATTACGGTTCAGGAGCTTCTCTACTGAGAGCTTTTTGTAAACTATTTCTGAAATTTCTTGTTTAGCTTCTGACACTATTGGAAGTAGGTGGATTAAGCTTTAAAACTGGATTCAGTAGATTTTTCCATAGCAGTTAAGTCTGAGCAGTGCGGTTAGGTCTGAGCAGTGCAACTGATTAATGACGAGTGGAAACATGCCTTATAAGAAGTATTATAACTGCACACCTTTAATAACTCTTTCTCACACCTTTCCCTGTTTGTCAAGATAACTTCTGTTTTGTGAATAACCAATAACCAGATCCTTGAATTAAAGATTTAGTGATGTTGATAGCTTGGACACTTGTGAAGTGCAAATTTATGTGCAATATTTTAAACAGAATAGTGAAGTTCCATGTTTTGATATTTTCTGATAAGCAAATTGCACACTGAATGAGATGACCAAGAAGGCAGTAGATAGGTCTCATGACATGTTTTGACAGTGGCTGAAAACCTTCCTAATTTTGATGTTTCTCTTGAACACAGTAACCTGTGAGGTGGTTGGCTCAAAGAAGCACAAAACCTAAACTTTTTTTTTTAAATTCAAAAGAAACAAAGGTAACTTAAATCCTTCTTGAAGTCTGTAAGTGCCTAGTTAATCATGAGGCTTGCATACATTCTGAAAGCTTGCTGGAGGAACTGAAGTTTCTCAGCACTGGTTATATACTACAGACTTTAATCAATTGCTGTAGTAATACACATGACAAAAATGTTTGTAGAGATGCAGGATATTGTGCGTCCCATAACTTTAATGGTCCTAGTTTAATGAAGAAAAATTCTAGTTGTAACGTGATGTCATTATTCAATTTTTTGTCTTTCACTTGTATTGGCCTTTGGCCTTTGGCAGGGTGCTTATAGGAAAGGTATATTAAGAGTATAAATCAGATACATGCTCTCTTCAGTCTGGACAGCACTTCTGGTAGGATTTGGCCTGGTATTTTCAGTGCTATGATAATGTGAAAATACTCCAGTGTTCTCTGCAGTAGCAATGACCATGTCATAAATAACTCGGTGTGTTTGCAGTTATCACAGGGTAGTGCTTCAACACAAACTGAATTTTGAAGTAACAAGGCAGAATGTGTATTTTATTTTATAAACACCTGAGCCACTTCAGTGGTGTTAGCTGCTACAAATATTTACATGCAGTCATATGAATTATCCTAGCTAAGTGATGGCTAAAGTAATTGTAATTGGCAGATACAAACTAGGCAAGACGTATTGAAATACTAAACTGGTGTGTGATGTGTACTTGCTTGGCTGCACTTGACTTAGGCAAAACAACAATTAAAAAATATCTTGGGACAGTCCAACAGCACCAAACTTAGCTACACTAATAAACTTTCTAAAATGATGGTGGCAGTGCTGAGTGATTCTTGGATAGTCAGGTCCTGTGACAACTTCCTTCTAAGTAGTTTTGAGCTTGATCATGAACTTGGATTACTTGTGTGTGAACATTGGCTTAAAATGATTCTTCAGTAGGTCTTTAAATGACTTAATATATGATGACTTCTTTTAAAAGGAAAATACTGTTGTACTGAGGAGCATATTCTTTTGAAAGAACAGGAAGCTTCTGTAAGTGAATGAAGGAAATCACCCACACTAAAAATAAATTTCTTTACTTTCTGGAATCCTGGGAGAGGGTATTCTACTTTTTCATTTATGTTTTCTACTTGGCTTTTTTCCCCCCTCTTCCTGCTCGTCTTCTAATGACTTGTAGTGATGTGAAGATGAATTGCAGTACTCGGAATTTGCAAGTGCTTTCTATTGGAGTCAACAGGTTAGTTATGTAGGAATACCTGACAGCTGTGATGGCTAACTTCTGTCAGGCCACCCTAGTTAAAAAGGATGCATCTCTAGCCAGAGCTGCTGTAATAAGCAAAAAGAAACTGGTGAGAGTTGAATTCCTCAATGAGTTTGAACTGCAATTGCTTAATGATAAACTGCAGAAGATCCTTTCCACTGCCTAGAAAGGTGTTCTTAAAACCCCAAGAATTCTGAAATGTCACTTACTTCACAGTGCATCTGATTTATGCTTTCATTTTTTTGTTCCACTGTATGTTAATGCAATGTGACTTCTTCCACTGTAGGCCAGGCAGCAATTCGGGGTCTGGTTGCAGAAGGTCGCCGTTTAGCCAATGTCATGATGGGACCTTATCGTCAAGACCTGCTTGCCAAGTGTGACCGTGTAGACCAGCTGGCTGCTCAGCTAGCTGACCTTGCAGCAAGAGGGGAGGGAGAATCTCCTCAGGCCAGGGCAATTGCTGCTCAGCTTCAGGACTCACTGAAGGTAAAAATCTGCTCTTGTGCATTGAAATGCATGATATGCTGAAGTATTTGCACTCCTCTGATAAAGTGCTTGTGTGTGGGAGGCATCAATAAAAACAAAAAAAGTGCAGCAAAAAACCCTGTTGGTTTAGCTGAGATGCTTAAAGCAAACTTCGTAGAAAGTCCTTGATATCATGCCGTAAGGATTAATTCCAAACAAACAAAAGTAAAAACAAAGTCTCATTTTAAAAGAAAGTAGTATGCTAGCATTGCAAAATTGAGGGGCAAGGTCTCAAATCGTGCTGTTCATAGCTTCTGATGCTGCTTCAAGGAATGGTATGTAAACTTCTGGTATTTCAAATTATGTAAAAAGTGATTCATTGATCATGCTTTTAAGATAATTTTATCTTAATGGCTGCCATTGTAATGGGCTCTTTTTTTTTTTTCCCCAAGAAGAGGTTTTAGGGATTTGAATCCCTACAAACTTAATATTCCTGTATCATGTGCCAATAATTTTCCTTTTTTTTAAGGATCTGAAAACACGGATGCAAGAAGCAATGACCCAAGAGGTTTCTGATGTTTTTAGTGATACCACAACTCCTATTAAATTGCTAGCAGTAGCAGCCACTGCTCCTTCTGATGCTCCCAATAGAGATGAGGCAAGTATACCCAGGTGGTCTTTTTCCCATGTGAAGCTTCAGTTATTGTTTAATTTTACCCGAATTGACATTTTGAAAAATGAATCAGTATTTACTTTCTCAAGTTTGTGATAATGCTTATTAATTCTGACAGCATAATGATTGTCATGCAAATTTCTCTGGACTCTTGGAGACTGCAAATTGTGCTGTATACGCCTGGAAACTGTATTGCCCCTGACTTCAGTAAATGGCAAAGATTTCTCCCTGTGATGTTTGTACCACGTTGCCTTCAGCATGCTAAAAATTCTTGTGCAAAAATCACTGACACACTAGTTAGTGGATTGTATATCTCAACATTATATAAGCTGATTAAAATAGTCAAATTCATGCCAAGATTGATCAACAAATTTAACCTGTTCTCTTGAGGTATAATGTTTCCTGTACTTCAAAGCTACTGGCTGCATGTGAAGAATCTAGAACTCTGTGGCTGGCAGCTCTGTTTGGCTAGTTGATTTCAACATGATCAAAATGATTCCCAGGGCCTTGGGCAATTTAGCTTTATGGCAGGATAGCTTTTTGTCAAAGTATTCTGTGCCTTGAATAACTACGAGCTGTGGAAGGAGGGATTTTTTTCCAATGTGAAGTTTCAATTTTTAGGGTAAACCCCCATATTTATCTTCCAAATATAGTTACTTTTGGATTATGGGTTTGAAGATTAATGTCTATGAGCTAACATGGTTTTAAGACAGTATTTGTTACAGCAGTACTCATCAGGAATTCGTTTACTTTATAGCTTTGAGGTATTAAGTGTAGTAGTATCCTTTGTTGCCCAGATGAATTAGTAAAGAAGGAAGTCCGGTAATGTAAAGAATAAAAAAAATGAAGTAGCTTCAAAGCTTTTGTGTCCTGTTGCATCCTCAGGCGATGCATTAAGTGTGAATGTTATGAAGGTATCTCTGGTATTTGACACTTTGAAATTATGTGTTCTTTAGGGAAGTGAGGCTTTTTTAATGTGTTTTTCTCTTCTGACAACTAGGTGTTTGATGAAAGAGCAGCAAACTTTGAAAACCATGCTGCTAAACTGGGAGCTACAGCAGAAAAAGCAGCTGCAGTTGGAACTGCGAATAAAACTACTGTGGAGGGCATTCAAGCAACAGTGAAATCAGCAAGGGAACTTACCCCACAGGTTTGCTTCCTTAGCCTCAAAGGGCTAGTAAAAGGGCTGGGGAGGACTTGTGTGGGATTTTCTTTATGCCTCTGCTATCAGAGAAAGATGTTAATACCAGCAAGGAACATAGTGCTGACACTTAAAAGGGGAATGGCAAATATTTGTGTATATGATACCAAGTAGAAGAAACTGATTAAATGACATGTCTTACTCCTCAACTGTTGGACAGAAGCGTTAGTGACTTATCCTTGAAACAAAATTACTTTGAGGCTTAGTAAAATACGTAAGTGGAAAAAATGCTCTTTAATGAACATACTTTAGTGCTTTCAAGAAGTGTTTTTAAATCATAAACACTTTTTCATATATAAGCATGTAATTGAAGTTCCAGAAAGTATTTTTGCGTCAACAAATTCCAGAAGCATTGTAAATCTTTGAGCAGCTAGATGGTGAACGAGAATTAATGAACTAGTATTGCAAATGAGGAGCTACACATCCGGTCCTGAAAAACAAACGTGTTTTCAGGAATATGTGTGGTGTCATTATATACGGATACTTCCATAATTAACAATGTTTTCTGTTGGCAGGTAGTATCAGCTGCTCGTATCCTCCTGAGAAATCCTGGAAATCAAGCTGCTTATGAACATTTTGAGACCATGAAAAACCAATGGATTGATAATGTAGAAAAAATGACAGGTAAAGTAGGAATTTTTTGTTGAAGATTATATTTGTGGCTAACTAGCTGCTATAGATTTTTTTTTTTTTTTTCCCCATTCTGTTTGGATTGGTGAAACATGCATAAGAGTAAAGACTTGTTAACAGTAAATTGAGAAGTGGGAATGTGCTCTCTGACTTCAGAAATAGGTATATGTTACAGCATAAACAACATGCCTTGTTTCATAGGCGTTAGTTTTGAGCTGCAGAGGAGTAAATTCAGCTTTACTTCTTTTGTGGGAAAAACAGAATACCATTAGTTTTTATTACATTGCTAGAACAGCAATCGCATCACTGCAGCAAATTGGGGTTTTTTTTCTACATAATCTTGGCATGTTGAATGAGGACAAATGATTAAATGGGGGCAAGGAAACGTGTAAAATAATGTAACAGCTTGATGAAAGCTGTGACTAGAACAAAGCTACTGATCTACTGAGTCTTGCTGAGACCCTTAAATGTTTCAGTCTTTCCAAAGTGCAGATCCTTTGCACTGGTCTGCTCATCTCCTGACTGTATACTACCTCCTTCTCCATCCCCATAATTAAATTGTGGGTATTTTAAATCTTACTGTCTTGTCACTATATATCATCCTTAAGTAAAAGCACAGCCAGAGGGATATTTCCTTTTGAATGAAAGGAAGAGGTACAAAAAGTACTGAATATGCTTGAAATGAGGTGGGAGGAAGGAAGCTCTGCTGCATATACTGTGTAAGCCAGTTCTTGACTCAAGCATCCATGGTAGATGAGTAAGAGCTTGGGATGCCACTAGTGGGAGCAAGCCTGACCCCGGTTACTGTGCTGGAGGTACACATAATCGGAAGTAAAACTGCAGTAACACATTTGGTCTGATTTCCATTCCCCCTTCTGCCCCTCCGCACCCCCCAGTTTGGAAGTACTTACTTTTCTGGTTGTGAACAGTCTCTGGAATACCAAATATCCCTTTCCACAGATGAAACTAGAATATTAATGTGTTTAACTTTTATTCTAGGGTTGGTGGATGAAGCCATTGATACTAAATCCCTGTTGGATGCATCAGAAGAGGCTATTAAGAAAGATCTTGATAAATGTAAAGTTGCGATGGCTAATATTCAACCTCAGATGCTGGTAGCTGGTGCCACCAGCATTGCTAGACGAGCAAACCGCATCCTACTGGTAGCAAAACGGGAGGTTGAAAATTCAGAAGACCCTAAATTCCGTGAGGCTGTTAAAGCAGCCTCTGATGAGCTAAGCAAAACTATATCGCCAATGGTAATGGATGCTAAAGCTGTGGCAGGAAATATTTCTGATCCTGGTAAGGATTCAGTCAGCTGATTTCAAATATATTTTTTACTGGCTGAAGACGATGTGAAGTAGTGCTTATTTGGTCTTGTACAGCTGTGTATCCCCTTTTATGCAAGTTTTGTGCACACTTAAATCCCAGAATGGTGAAAACAAGGTTACACCAATAACTGCTGAATCCTGCTCTTTTAAAATGCAATCAAAGACCTTTGGCGTATTCAAGGGAAAAGGATTCAGCATTCTAGCTTGTTACGTGATTTCATAACCTTTATTAGAAGAAGTATTTGTCACTAGTTATCAGTAGTACTACTTCGTATAAGAAAATATTATCTAATTTCTTTTATTCTAAAGGTTGTTCTGGGAATTACTTTGGCTATTGATAGTGACTATTACTCAGCCCAGGCTTTATTTTATGCATGTTGCATATGACACTAACATTTCAAACATGTCAATCCACTGAAAACATTTTGGTAGTTTTTAAACACCGGGTTTTTTACATATATATGCGTGCTCAGCACAGTATGCTATAGAAGTAATTTTTGTTGCAGTTCTAAATATTAGAGAATGCTGTTAAACTGGTAATGGAATTTTTGTTCAGGTTTGCAGAAGAGTTTCTTGGATTCTGGGTACAGAATTCTGGGAGCTGTGGCCAAAGTCAGAGAAGCTTTCCAGCCTCAGGAACCAGATTTTCCCCCTCCTCCTCCTGACCTTGAGCAGCTTCATGTAAGTGCAGCATAGTTTGTAATACAATACACAGTTGTCACTGACGACGTGTGGATTGCACACGGAAATTACTTGAGTATATTTTTATTCCTTAGAAATAAAATGCATTGTGTGGCCAGCCATGCATATAAGTAGGCTTATGCCTGATAAATACCAATCCAGCTTTCAAAAGAAGAGATTAAAACATGGTATTTCTTTTAACGTGGAGCACTTGAAAAACCGGAAAAAGGCGTGAGCTTGTGCAATCATGTCTTGTCACGACGCCATCCTTTACTCATCTGTGTACTGTTTCGTTGCACTGAATAAGGTTTTTTCCCTTAGCTGACTGATGAGCTTGCTCCTCCAAAACCACCACTTCCAGAAGGTGAGGTTCCCCCACCCAGACCACCACCACCTGAAGAAAAGGATGAAGAGTTCCCAGAGCAGAAAGCAGGAGAAGCTATTAATCAGCCCATGATGATGGCTGCTAGGCAGTTGCATGACGAAGCCCGGAAATGGTCTAGCAAGGTAAGAAGTTGTTATATGTGGCTTGAGCTAAAAGGAATGTTGTTTATTTATTTATAGGATCAGTGTGTTTGGTCTGAAGTCAGTTGCCTCAATGACAGAGAATAGTCTTTTTTAGATCAAATAGTGAAAACACTGCTGCAGGAGGAATTAGAAACCCTTTCAAGTTCGGAGTGAACTAGGGTCAACTGTTCGAATACTCAGAATTGCCAGAATGCTTTATTAATATACCTCTGTGAACACAAATATGCCTTGTATGCTAAGCTGTTTGTCATCCTTGGTGCTGGTATTGCCTAGAGAGCCACTAATACTTACGCCTTTCTAGGCTGACAAGCTGATTGCTATATTTAAGTGACTTTGAAAAGTCTGTATGGGTGTTGCAGATGCCAGCTGCAGGAATCATGAGCTGGTTTGTCTTAATTCTGGAAGGAGCTGCAAGTTTGCAGTTAACCTGGTGCATTTATGATTGGAAAAGTGACCATATATAGATGTCCTGGTCTCATTCTTTTTTGTACTGAGTCACACTCGCTATCAAGGCCAAAATCCTTTATTTCCTTACCATTTCAGTGCCATGACAAAGCAGTGTGAACTTGTCAGTCTTATAAATGCTAATACAACTTTTTTGCTTTCCCCTTTTTTTTCCTCCCCAAACAGCTACATTTTTCCTCTGGCAGCAACTGAGTAAACTTCTGAGATTTAGGCTTCTGCAGGTATAAATTAAAGATCAGAATTTAGCTTTTAAAACCTCCACTTTTTTTCTCCACCAAATTAGATGGTGAATGAGAAGATAAACTTGAATAGCTTACAGAATCAACTTCAGTGCTTTGTGCTTCAGGAACATCTGTTTTGGAAGTACAGATAAAATACGAAATAAGTCCTGCAAATTTGTTTGAGTGTCTCTTCCATAAAATGAAAAGCTCTATTTTCCCCCGTACTTCTGGATATACCAAATACAGATTTATATTACTAAAGGGATAGTACTGGAATGTAGTAGTCATCTCAGAAGGTAGTTTTGAGGCCAAAAGCCTTTATTTCAGCTTCCTAAAAGTGATGTTTGAATCCTCAAATGGTTAACTTAACCATACACAGTAGGTAATAAAATGCTTTTACTACATACACACTAAATTACCTGTATATACTAAATACATTCTAAATTAAATAGTGCAACTGTTAAAATATTCATTTATCAAAGCCAAGTGGCAGACCTTAAAATTCCTTTCTGATTATGAAAGAGCTCTAAGCTTAGTGTATTTAGAATAGAAAACACTTCATTGCTGTTTCTTTCATCTGAGACCAGCAAATCAGTAAGTTAGCCTAGCATTTGTCCTTCTAATTCTTTTTTAGCAGTCCCATTTTAGCAACAAGAGTACAGTTATTCTGACAGTACGTTTTTGGGGAAGAAATTTTAAAAACATTTTTGTAGTCTCTGGAGTCACTTATTGGGTAGAAGAGAGATTGATGGACAGTGGTACTGAGGGATTACGGGTTAGATCTGCAAAGACAAATATAAGGTCTTGTTCGTACTAAATCACAATAGATTGTGTGTGAACTGTCTTCTGATTTTTTTTTTTGCCCAATTACATTAGTTTACTGGCACTTTGCCATGTGTTACACTTACAGGGAGGGGACAAGTATGTAGTCTTTAAAAAAATTTTGATAACATTCTTCGTTCTTGTAAGATTTAAAATCAATTTGTTTTTTTTCCCTTTGCAAAACCTCCTCTTCACTGAGGGGATTCTGGGCTTTCAGGTACTCCGTTTTTCTCATGGAGCACAAACCAAACACTGTCTATTGCTTCAGCTTTCCCTGCCTTTCCCCCTCATTTGGGTAAATCAGAGAATGAGGGATATTTGGAAACTTTTCATTAGATTAAGACTTAAATAGAAGTTGTCTTTGAAGATGAGTTGGTTTGGCAGTATATAAAAGTTACAACTTCCTTCCAAAACTTCTGTGTGTTTTCCTTGGTGTAGATGTTTTTTCTATAAGAGGCCATATCTTAAGCAAAACACAATTGAAAATGCACGGTTTTTGGTAAGGGTAGTTAGACTTTTATCAACACTTGCCTTTAGTCAAAGAAATACAGTTAGTAAACTTGTAGAATATTTTTGTATTGAAATGCTGCTGTATTATAAATGCCTGTATTTTTATACCACTTACCTCTTCCTTGTGATCTACCCTAACGCAATATATTTGCTTGAATCCTCTTTTTTTTTTATTGAAGGTAATGGATACAACATATTGTGGCAAAACAGTATCATATGCTTCATAATCCTCTTATCTACTAATTCTGTTTCAGTCTTTTTTAAGAACCGTAATAGTCCCAGCATTCGTAACATTCAGTATCACCTCCTCTTTTCATAACCCGGTTTTGTTCTTTTTCATGTTATCTGTGGTACTTCAATACTCACTTCTACAGTGCTCCCACCCCACCTTTTTTTTTTTTCTTCCCTCTCCAGCAAGCAGTGTCAGTGGTTTTTCTGTGATCCTGCTGCTATCTCTTCTTATCCCATATATGTGAGCAGGCTTCCATACAAAGCTTTTTATGTGCACGAATATCGCGGTCATCAGCTGCTGTGCCTGCTTCTATGCAGTCAAAACAGCTTCCATTGAAACAGAAAATCCATTCATTTCAACATTGTCTTGCCAGAAGAATGTTGTTCTGCAAGTCAGCCTCTGTCTGTAGAAGCTGTATGCTCAGATGAAAAATGTTGCTGCATCTTTGAATTGTAACTTCTTAATGTTGTTGGTAACTTTGGTTCACAGGTGAAATGTTTGTTTCCTTCTGCGAATCTTGTGTTCCTTCCCCTCCTCCCTCTGACCTGATCCTAGAGCTGTCTTGTCAGATCCTGAGAGACCAAGAGGATGTTTTGGTCACTAAAACAGCTCAGTTCATGCTCTTCTACCAAATTCTGCTTCTCGTACTAACTGTCCCCTGTTTCTCCACCCTCGCTGCCACCTGCAAAGCCTGATGTGACTGTGATTAATGAAGCGGCTGAGGCTGGTGTAGATATAGATGAGGAGGATGATGCAGATGTTGAATTCACTCTCCCCTCTGACATTGAAGATGATTACGAGCCTGAGCTGCTGTTAATGCCAACCAATCAGCCTGTTAACCAGCCCATTCTGGCTGCTGCTCAGTCTCTACATCGGGAAGCAACCAAGTGGTCTAGTAAGGTACTCCTGAGTCTCCCCGGGGACTGATCCGTGTGCATCCAGCCATTTGGAACGCTGACACATTTGCATCACTCTTGATCCCTGCTGGGCCCCGCCGTTCTGAATGAATAAGTGTGTCTGCACTTCGTTTTAAGGACTGAGAGTGGCTTCACAAGTTTGCTAGATCGGTTTGTCAGTGCTGGATTGAAGCTTGATTTGGGTCACTTATTAATATTTAAAGGCTTCCTCTCCCTTTGCATCTGCCTGTTCCTCTTTGTTATGGCAGTTTTCAAATTGTAATAGGGGTTGTCTTCCCTCCCCTCCCCGTTCTTTTTTTCCATTCCTTTGGGCTACCTGGGAAGCCATGGTTAATGGTTTCTTAATGACTTCCAGATACAGCAGAGTATACAGCATTCAAGAAGTCATTTAACGTGTCTATCGTGCTTTGCCTCCATTGATGCCATCAATTAGAATACCTTCCAACAAGGAATGGCTTTGTATGGCAGCGTTTATCGAAGGGGACTGACTGTCTGCTGGCTTGCACTTGGCTGTGTTGCAATGCTGGTCTTGAGAGAATTCTTTTATGAAGAAGCTGCACTGAATGCTGTTCAGCTGCTGAATTGAGATTGCGTTTATATGAAACCAGGGGAAATCTAACATGAGGTTCAGACATTCACAAGTAGCCTGTCTCTTCTGTCTAAGCACAAATGTTTGCAAGACTGGTCACTTTTTATAGCATGCTGCAAAAAATAAGGTTGGTGTCCCATAACAAACAAAGGTTAGGGGGGTGTGTGTATGTATATGTATGTGTGTGTATGTATTTACATAGATATACTAAACTATTTTAATAAAAAGGGCTTTAAAAATGTTTTTGTCCTTTTCAGATTCTGATGCTTGGATAACTTGTTAGAGGGCTTCGTAAATGACACTGGTCCTAATTTCTTGATCCTCCTACGTGAAAACATGGAAAAGCTTTGTGTTATGTCATTTGCATCCTAACTGGTTATACTAGCAAACTGTTTAGCTATTAGGTCATGGTAATGAATAGTTCAGCTTTTTGTGTCACCTGTATCTGCAAAATATCTGGGATATCCTCTTGAATTTGCTAGTAGTGAGTCATGGAAGTAGGTGCGCAGGGACAGAGAGTACATTTGCTAAGTTGGGTTCCCGCTGTGTACTCTTTGCTCTGAACTTCATCGGTCATTAATTGTGGAATTACACCGAGGAAAGCGTGTGCTAATACTTAAACTCACTCTGCTAATATTTCATCCACACAATAGGAATGCTTCATGGCACCAGACAGTTTCACTTCTGTCTAACAACTTTCTGCAAAGGTGAATCTAAATATACTAACAGACTACTTACAATTGATCATCTAGGTCTGCTTTTTCTTGCACTAGGTTTCTCTCTGGAACAGTGTATAAGAAGTGGTTTTGCCCTGGTCATACTCAATTCACGTTTCAAATATTTCTCAGAAGTATTTCTGTGACTGTAATTTTGATGTACTTAACACAAGAAATCTAGATTTTAATGTAAGAAATATCACTAGATTATCTTTTGAACTATCAAGTTCCCCTCTCCTGGAAGCTTTATTTTAAAGGGAGAGATTTTGTCAAAAAGGAAGGTTTATTTTCAAGGAATAACTTAAAAAAAAAAAAAAAGTTGCACCTCATTTCCATGTTACCAGTGACAAAAGTTTTGTATGTCACACTCTCTTCCACTTATCCTTTTAGCATTATAGCAGCATAGCTGATGCTTTAACAACTTCAGTTTCAGATGCCACTGAAAACTTTATGCTCAACTGTTATGACTATACTATTTCACTTAATTAGTGCTATTTGGTTTAACAAGCTATTTAGCACACTTTTTTTAATTTAAAAAAAGCCTTTTTTTGTGGGAAATCTGGAATTTCAAATGCTAATAACATGCTTTATCTTAAAACCTAGCCAGCAGAGCAGTAACTCTCGTTCCGTGGACAAACTAACGCTTTTCTTTACCACTTCTTTTCCAGTTTTGAAGCGAACTTTTTTCCTGAGTGTTAGACAGAAAAATGTCAGAAACACATAATTAGTACAGATCTTCCCTGTTCCTTGAAGAAACCTCTTCTGTGTTCACAAATGGTTCTTCCATCCTTAACTTCTTGAAAGGGTTGCTACCAAAATGTAGACTGCTGTTCAGTCGTGACTTCTGTGAAGCTTCTGTCCTGGCGTGAACACTGACTCGTGTTGTTCTCTTCAGGGTAACGACATCATTGCTGCTGCTAAACGAATGGCACTGCTAATGGCAGAGATGTCGCGCCTGGTGAGAGGAGGTAGCGGAAACAAGCGTGCCCTTATTCAGTGTGCAAAGGATATTGCTAAGGCATCAGATGAAGTCACTCGATTGGCCAAAGAGGTGGCAAAGCAGTGCACTGACAAGCGCATTAGAACAAACCTCTTGCAGGTAACGAGTTAACCTGTAAATGCCTCAAATACTTCCCCTCCCCCCTTTCCCCCTCTGTTCCTCTCTCAGTGTGAGCGAGCACAGGAGTTGCGGCAGTAAATCATGTGTATCTTTCCTTGGCTTGTAAAGTTTTGTCAAGGGCTATGTCTGGTTTTAGATCTCATGGTCATATATTCTGTAAAGTCAGGATTGGTTTACAGGTGAGTGGAAGATGCTAGTGTCCAAAGAGGTTTTGGAAGATACTGTGCTATGAACACCGGTCTGTCCTAAGCCTGCATTGCTTTGTATTTCATCTACTCGTTCCTTTGTATCAAAGAATAGTAGCGGAAATATAACACTCCTTAGTTTTTCAGTCTCAGCCAAATATACATCATCTCATTCCTAACCAAGCAGACCCTTGAGGAACATCTGGAGGAAAGGAAGAATGTTGGCTCCATCCCAAAAATTCCCCAAGGAAGTAAAATAAGATTCAAGTATCCTACCAATCTTTGCCAGAAAGTCTTGAAGGTTATAAGATCCCTTCTATGCTTATTCCTTGTCTCATAGTAAAACAAAATCAAAGAATTTATCTGAAAAAATAATAGATAACGGATTGGTTCAGTTTACAATGCGAAGTGGTTGTTTTTTTTTTTAATCCCCATTCCTTAGGTCTGCGAGCGAATCCCAACCATCAGTACACAACTCAAAATTCTTTCCACTGTCAAAGCTACCATGCTGGGCAGAACTAATATCAGCGATGAAGAGTCGGAACAGGTAAGAGGTGTAAAAATTGATGGTAGCGTGGAATTGTTGATCAGTTTTATGGGGGAAAATGTACAACATGTAACATCAGATGTGCTCAGGGAACTCAATGTTTGGAAGCTTACCTCAGCTGTTTAGTATAAACATATCTTCATAAATCATGAAGATAATTTTAGTATAGCACCTTGGTTTCTGGCTCAAAAGCTGCAGTTTAATAGAGGAACATCAATCCTTCCCAAGCCAAAAAGCTCCTCTGGTTCAAATTTTCATATGAGCAACTTCTGAAGCTCCTTGATTTAAGAGTAAAAAGCTAGCTAACCCAAGACCGTGCTTTTACGAATACAGCAGGTTTGACGTTGGCGGAGTAGTAGCACCCTCTGGTGGGTCGTAGTGAAAATATTTATTCTCCAACAACATCTTGACTAGTTGTCTTGCAGTTCTGTTAGCTTCCAAATGCATGTTTTCAGTTGAAATCCTGCCCTTTTGGCTTCTGAGAGAGATTATTCTACTTTGAGACACTAAGCTTTTATTCAGATTTTGCACAAATATACAGTAAGAAATGGGAAAGCCTTGTTGTGAGTCAGAATAACAGTCGCTAGTTTCCAGAGACTGGTTGTTTCATTTACTTTTTCATAGTTTCAGTCAGCAATCGACTGACTTAATGCTTGCAGTGGGAGCCCTCATGCGTAACGGGTTTCCATGCTACTGTCCTGGACATGGAATTCACTAATACATGGGAAATTTTTCATTTTCTTGACAGGCAACTGAGATGTTGGTTCATAATGCCCAGAATCTCATGCAGTCTGTGAAGGAAACTGTGAGAGAAGCTGAAGCAGCATCCATTAAGATCAGAACAGATGCTGGATTCACTCTTCGCTGGGTCAGAAAGACCCCGTGGTATCAGTAAACACTTGCCACATAAGTATTGTTTTCTCTAACATAAAATGCCTTTTTTTGGAAACAGAAGAGAGATGAACAGCAAAAGGTGCTGTATACATGAGCTTAAGATTAGCTTATGCTAATGCCCCATTCTAAGGGTATGAATTATAAGAGAATGCATTTCAAATGTCTTTGGAACGCATTTGATATCGAACACCTCAAAATTGCTTCTGACAGTAGACAGTTCTTATCTTTTTTTTTTTTTTTGCTTTTGAGGATTCTCTTAATGAATTCTGTACTCCCAGAAGCACATTTCATTTATGCACTGTATATTCCAGTAGTTTCCATGTGATGATATAAAACATGGACCTCACTTTAAGCTTGTGTTGAAAGTCTAGGACACTATTGGTTACTTGGCAGTTTTTTAGGGACAATCATTGATACAGAAACATTCAACTTTTCAACGGGGTTTTAGCTGGCCGTTCTTAAACCATGCAGATACGATGGAAGGTGCGGGATTTTTAATTGCGGGGGTGGGGCGGGCAGCAGAACAGTTGTAAACTGGCGAATAAAATTCCATGTCCAAAATGTGTTTGTTTTTTTTTTTTTTTTTTAATTTTGATTTTTGCCTGGCAACAGTACTTTAACAAAAACTGGAGTTGTCTTTGTCACCCTCCTGTCACCCTGTAGGTAGGCATTCCGGAACTCTGGTACTGTACTGAAATGCTTTGCAGTGGATGTTAGTGGCACATTGTTGACAGCTTGAGCCTTACGGCTGGAGACCTTAAATCATGAAACTCTTTCCGTCTTGCTCAATTCAGTGATGTATTGAGCTGAAAAATCCTGGTTCTCAAGCTAGCTGCATGTCCAGGACCAGAAAATGCCACAGGCTGGCTCTTTCCTTTTGGAAACCAAATGAGCACGTGCAGTTATTCTTTTTTTCCTCTTCCCTCCATCTGATGTTATTCCAGCCACTCAGGGTGGAAATTAAAAGATAAAGATATTCGATTAAAAAAGACCTTTTGCCTCACTGCCCTTGTTTCCATAAACTTTTTGAAACCCAAGCGCTGCAGTCTGATGGCTGCCAGCAAAACGGTGGTTCCTGATGCTAAACATACTAGGATATCTTTACTGATTTTGACATTTGGAGTTTGGAGGCTCAAAATCTTTTTTCAAGTTCTAGTAATAGTGAATTGAACAAAGTGTTACTGTATTTTCAAAAAAAAATCCCAAACCACAACAGTAAAAACCTACAAAATCCCCCCCACTCTAAAATACGCTTGGGATGTTTTTATCCTTCCATAATTGAACATGCCTTCATATACATATACATAATATATATACACACACACACACACATATTCATGTAATTGCTCCATGGTCTCTTTTGACATTTGACAGAAAGGAGAATTATTGTTTTCGAATGAGTCTCTGTACATTTGCAAGGAACACTTGCAGAGTTCTGCCCAGATCAGCACTGACCTCATGATGCCCTCTTAATTTGCTGAAAACTGTTGCATCATCAAACCACCTTCAGTAGAAGTGCCCTTGTGGAAAAACCGCTCAGTCTTACCAGCTCGAAGAGACACACAATATAGCCAGCTGTCCTTTACCTGTCTGCAACAGTTACCCTACAGTTGGCCTTCCTCCTCTCCACCCCCTCCTTATTGCACTGTTATCTAAAAAGGGAAGTTAAATTGATGATGATACATCTGCCTCAAACTGACCTTAGCAAGAGAAAGCATGCGTTCGTCTTTAATTCACTCCTTGTGTCTGGGTATTACGAAATACGTGGTACCTAGGATCTTTCCGTAGTACTCTCTTCCTGCGATTACCTGCAACGGGGAGAGGAGGGAAGGAAGGGGTGCCAGAGCCTTAACCTGAATGTCTTGCGTTTGGTTGGTTTCTACCAGATCTTTAACATAATTGTAATGTAGTAATTTCTATTTAATAGTAAATGACACTGAATAGGTAGGGGTTATTTTTAAGGGATTTTCTAAATAGTCTTCCTGTATTACTTTCCAATGCTCCTCACGTTTCCCCAGTGCTGCCCCCCCCCATTCAGGCTTCTCCGTGAGAGTTTTTTTTAGCATCACTGTTTAGTTGCTTGACTGATATTAATGCAATATTACTAATGCCTTTAATACATAATTGTTTATGCCAAAGATCACTTTTTGTTTATTGAGGAATGTTTGCAGTAAAGTTATGAATCATGGTTGCCTTTGATATTCTTCCAGAATGTTTGCCGTAAGTTCTTGAACTGTTTTGTAGAAGCTAAGATATTTGTCCACCTTATGCAATTACTGCTTTTTTGAACACTATTAGTCTTCAGACCTGAAATGCAGAAAAAATTTGAAAAAGACCATGAATGTCACTTAGAAATGTTTTACCACTATAAAACTTTGTTTATAAACAAAAATGTATTGTATAGTCTAATGTTTTCAACCTTTCTTTGGTTCTGTTAAAACAATAAAAATGCATTTGTACAAATGTCAGCTTATGAGTATTAATGATAACGGAGCAGTGGATAACACCCTAACGGCAAGCAAAGCAAAGAGCTAAAGCAGCAGAAATACTAAAGCAAAAGAACAGTTGTTTCTACATATTCTGAACAGAAAAAAAGTGTGAAGTTCCTCAGACAGCAGAAGATTAAAACAAGTTGTTTCTGTCTTTTGTGCCCGTAAAACCCGTAATTAAAGAACTTACTGGAAGCTGTGGTCCAGTGGGAGAAAACGGGATTTTTTCCAGAGGCCTGATGGTCATCTGTTCTAGTAACACCGAACAGGGTTCTGAAAACTTGAGATGGGGTTTGCCTGATCCTGTCAGTACGGGAAGACCTGCTACGCTGGCCAGCACCTCGTTAACCTGAATTTTACTTCACAAATGGAATGCCAGGGCCATCAGCATGGAGTCACTGTCCTGTTTCCTTCACAGTAAGAACCTCTTAAACACTTTCTCTCGCTAAAAATTTCTACCAGCACACGTAATGCTCTGACTTTGTGGAACCAACATTTATTGGTGCTGTAGGACCCGAAACATAATCCCACAGTGCCGGAAGGCATCTGGGATTTAGTAATAATAGGTAAAATTCAGATTTCATACTGTTCACACAGTTCTCTCCATATCCCAGAGACATATCACCTTTGTCAGCACTCCTAGGGCTGGACACCTAGAGAAGGGGAGATCAAACACTGGCAGTACTAATTCCTCAATAATGGCATCCTCCGATTTCTTAAGCTCTACTGTTCATACGGGTGCTGGTGCCATTTTCTTTAACAGGGAGAATGCGAACACAGTCCCCGCTTCTGCAGATTCTGCAGTTGAGTTTCCTGTGTTTGGAGACACGGCAGGAGCCAGCACCCCTACAGCAAAAGGGATAAGCCTCACCCAACAAACACCGTTTCCCTGATGAAAACCATCTTCATGCTCAGGGTGGCTTCCTACCAGGTGAGTGTAATTCTTGTTGACAGAGACTTCTGGTGGTGTGCTGTGCAGTATGGATCAAAGCTTTTCCAGAGACAGCAGCTTTGTGCATGCTCCCCTGGTGCCTGAGTTACAGAAGGCTGGCAAGGCTTGTTCTGTAACGTGCTGAAGGGAAGTGCAGGTGCTAAGGCTGGCCAGTTTGGGTGCGAGGTTATGTTCTGTATCAGTAATGGTGTCAGGTCTGAAAGGAGGTCTTGCAGCATTTCCAGGCTGCTAATGCAGAGGGCAGCTCTAGCTACTCAGATGTAAGCCTGGGGCGTTATCAGTTACATCTGAAGACAAGACTTCTGGTAAAATGACTGTAACTGAAGGATGCCATTTGCTGAAACCTGCAGCGGAACTGTAGGATGAGTAATGAATTGACGGATGTTTCTCCAGCTGAAAAAGGTAGACTAGAAGGTTGGTAGCTTTTAGTACCCAGTGTAGTGTCTACGCAAACGCAAGGCTTTCTTATAGGTGCTCGTTCTTAAAAGTGCTGTTTTAGCTACGCTAATCTACTGTAATTTCAGAAATTCAAAATGGTTGTCCATAGCCAAGGTTGCCCTAGTGATGTTACCAAGGAGGGTTCCTCCACCTTTTTTCGGACTGGATCATTTTTTGTCCCAGTATTTGAAATTTTGACTACTGAATGACTTTAGTTCCTATTCTTCATCTGAAGCAAAGTTAGTATCCATTCATCAATTTGTAAGCCAAACAGGTTAGGGAAACAAAGATTCTCCAGTCTCCCACCTTTCCTTAATTCGGAACTTGGGTTTCTCAGCCTGCTACGTACTGACCAGATGTATGGTTTGAAACCTGATGGGTACCGTGGAGCACGTATTGGTTTACAGAGATGACAATGCATTTATGCTGGTGTATAAGGAAAAGTTTAGTCAGCTTTGCATCATCACTGTTGCGTCTTTGAAATGTCATAATCTAAACATTAATTGTCCTCCATTTAAAAATAAAAGATATGAAAGGGAGCTTACCTGCCATGCTCCTAAATGCCCTTTCTGAACTTAAAGTAGCTGCACAGTGATCAAATTCAGTAAAGATGTAGCAAACAGTCAAGGTTTAATTGTATCTGAGATGTCTCCTGCCTAAAAGCATCATGAATAGTTTACAATAGCGTGAACATTTCACAAGAGAAGATGTATTTGCAGTAGAGTTCCCTTTATTTCATAACATTAAAGCACACAACCATTAAATACACGTGACACTTCTATTGTGCTATCTAAAAAGCTACGCTCCAACGTACACGTGGCACAAATCTGGTGGCATCCACTTCGACCAAGTGGAACATCTAAATCAAAGCAAAGGCTTCACATAAAAAATAGATCTTACTCTCTGCAACTGTGTTCTTAAAAAAAATGACGGCGACGATGAGACTGAATGGCAAGAAAGTGGATTACTGAAGCAACAATCACCTCCCAGATTTAATGCAGAATGTTATTTTTATCAGCTCATCTGCAGATGGCACAAATGAAAGCTGATTAAGGCAAATGCTTCTTAAGAAAGGCGATTTCTTGTAAACAACAAGGAAATTATTTTTCTCTTCATCAGAAGCTCTTTCTTAGGAGTGACAATTGCTATGTCCCAGGCCCCTGTGGGACCCCTGCCCCTCTCACTGCTGCTCTCTATTTCTGAAGGGATTACATGATGCTTTGTGGAATGCCAGCTTGCAGCTGGCTGTGAGAATAGCTGAGCTTTCTTTGCAGGCGGCTGCAGCAGCAAAACGTGCCGCCACAAGTCTTTTCCAGTGGCCTGTCTGGCCTTCATCATGTGCTTGGCCTCTGGGCTTTGGTATCTGACTGGCAGTGTAGTGTTTGCGACATTTTGTGGATCACCTATATCAAACTATTCACCAGCACAACGATTCAGTAAAAAAAAGTGAAGTGTATTAGAAAAAAAGTACCTTATTTTAAAGCCATATTAAGAAAAACTAAGCTATGCTTTCATTTTAAGAGCTGCTGTGCACAAATGCTTTGATCCCAAACTAATCAGTGTCTATTAATTAATTGGCACCTAATTAATAGCAACATAAGTCACTAAGCAGTCAAGTTTGTTTTTTTTTTTTTTAAGGGGACCTTTCTCTTTGGAGAAGAGAGCATCTTCTCATGCCCACTTTGGAATTTTGCACAAATGCTTTGATCCCAAACTAATCAGTGTCTATTAATTAATTGGCACCTAATTAATAGCAACATAAGTCACTAAGCAGTCAAGTTTGTTTTTTTTTTTTTTTTAAGGGGACCTTCCTCTTGGAAGCAGAGCATCTTCTCATGTCCTGACTTGGAATTTTCCTGCTTTTGTAATATATTTGACACCTTTAAAAGGCTTGTATTTTTCTCCATACATGTCTAGGCGATTCACTTTCAGTCCTGAAAAAGACAAAGACAAGCAGAAAGTTAAAAGCAGAATGCTAGAAATCACGTTAGTCTGTTAAAAGTCCTGCTTTCTTGAAGATCGGTTAGGAAGCTGATTTTCCTTCCTTTCACAAGTTCATCCAGTTTGAAACAGCAAGAGACCATTCTTGTCACCTACTCATAGCTGCCCTGGCAGGGCAACAACTTGTTTCTGTTCTACTCAGTGAGCCAACATCCTCCTTCCCAGGGATGAACTATTGACTAAATGAGTCTATCTTCCACAGCTCCTGTACGCTGCACTCGTTTCCAATAATGTAAATGAAGCAAAGGACAAGTTTAGAATTCTTTTCGCTCTAAATCATAATTGCAAGGACCAGCCATCCCTCTGCTATTAATTGAGGAACACCAGTAGCTATTAATTACCTAATAGTTTCAGGTTGTCCCCTGCTTTCTCACAGGTCCATTATCTCTGGCACCCAGCCAGTGGATCCACTGTGTTTTGCTAGATTTAAACTAGTGGGTCGCAAGTTTAAGAGGGAACTGCAGGATCCTGTTGTTACGCAAGGACTGACTGTTATTTACTCAGCAAAGCAGTCTAGCAAGCAGAAGGACAATACCTGGTACCTACCTAGAAAGGTACTACATTTACTACCCCCAATTCTTATCTACTGCCTTCAGTCATCTTCCTTCTTTCCAAATGTGAGTCTTTGCTCTGTGAGGGTCTTAATCCTTCAAAGCCTGCTTGCAGAAGCATTTTACACAGGGACAACTCGCATGATTTGTTTGCAGACTGAGGCCTTGTTTGCTTTAAATTTACTTTTGCACTTACCCTATCGACTTCATTCTGATTTTACTTGCAGATTGTTTTGAAGATGAAAAACTAACCAGCTCCAGAAGGAAAGAATAAGAATAGCATTCTTTAACATTAATGGAGTTTTTTTGACTGCTAGAAAGGGCTTTAGTGGTACAAGGCCACAGCAAGTCAAGAGCAGCGTGCTAAATCATCATCCATCACTCTCCACTAAAAGGATAAATTTGCATGTTTAATGCACAAGTCAACAAAGAACAATCCATTCTTCCATACACTTCTCACAGTCTTTCTTAGGCAAAACAATCGGGAATTCACAATTCCCTGCAAGGGAGTCTTCCAGCAAGGGTAACTGTCAGGTTTGGGTAAGTCAGACTTTACCTTTTTGGACCAAGCTGACTTCAGATCAGCATCTCCAATTAAAAGGTTAACAGTTTCCCTGCTTCATTGCCTACTGCTACGTATTCCGTCAGTTACCAATTTCACGTAATGCCCACCCACTCACCTGAAATTGCAAGCTGTTGTATCTTAAACTGAATGTTTAAACTTGGATTCTCCTCTGGCTTGGCAGCTCCAGACTGCAGGTTCACTATGCCCTTCAGGTTTGGTAGCTTTTGAGGGGTAATTTTGCCAACGTCCCACGTTAACACCTTGTCAGGAAAGAGAGAACAGTAGCAGCAGCTTTCTAGGAAACAACCTATGAGGTCAAGTTCATGTCAGGCTTTTAGTTTGCAGGCTGGGTACAGAAAGTAGCCTGGTAGCCCTGAGAATTATCCCGCTGGCTGGGAGATGGCATGGTTAGGGCTCCTGCGGGTATGGTGTCTTTTCCGTCCCAGCATTTCTTTTGCCCTGTCAGCGTTCCTTAGTTGGTCTGTGCACTTAATACCTCTTGTTCCTTTAGTAATGGTGGTTGTTCCTGTTGTCAGATCGGGACAGCTAGATCCATGAAGCAAGGAGAGTAACCAGCACAAAGGTCGAAGGAACTTAAATGCAAGCGTGAGGTGGACAGGAGCAAGGCACTTAGCAAAAGGAGATGTTTAAGCTAGAGTAACTTTCCTAAGGGTCACTTGTTTGCCGTTGATTCTTACATTTTAAAGAAGATACATGGAACCAAGTTGGCCCTTTACTCACACACAAGAGGGTTGTTTTTTTTTTTTGTTCTTATCATAAACTGAAAATTGTTGATAAATGCAGAAAAACCTCAGTTCTCCCTACTTGTACAAACTTCTGCAGTTACAATCCACCTAGTTATCCCAACCTTTGCTAAAAACACAGTATAATTTATTTCTGCAGACAGGAAAGGAGACTTCCAGTGTTTTTGTTGGTGTTTTTGTTTTTAAAAGATTAAGGTCTGTTCTTTTTGAAACAAAGTGTTACTTGGAGAGCTTTCACTTACAATTGAAATCGATTGCTGACTGAGATATTCCAAGGGCAGCAGAAAGCTCAGAGCAGGGTGTTAGAGGCAGCAGAATGGTTTGGCTCAGACTGCATTTCAGTGAAATGGTTCCTGGGTACTAAAAAGCTTCAGGAGCTTTAGGAAATTTAGGTCTCAAACCCCAGCTCAGAGGCAAGAAAGCAGGACTCCCAAGATACAGTTTTTCAGACCCTTTGTTTTCCTTCCTGTGTGTCTTCAGGCAGATCTTTTGGAAAAGGTGTTTTTTTTCTCATCTCCTGCTCCTTGTTTTTCTGGCAACCTATTTTCAAGTCTACTGCATTTTCTCCAGATAAGTATGTTTTAAAGAACATAGATTGCAAAATATACCATAGCTGAAACTACCGGCAAAATACTGCTGCATCCACTAAATGGAGAAAAATATTAGGGGGGTGAAGGAGCAGGGGAAAAGAGAGAAAGGGAGAGGGGAAGGGAAAGCAGACTGATAAAACCAGAAATCACAACTGGTGTGTATCTAAGTTTGAAAAAGTAAATTTTAAAGAGAAGATTTTTAATTCCTAAACATACACTGAAGGGAAAGTTTTCTGCTAAGTGTGGAACACTGCTCTAGTGCTCTGCAATATGTATGACTTGTTCTAATGTCATCTTAGATATTTAAATAAATAAAAACTTAAGACTTACTTTCGTAACTGGGTCAAATGTATAGCTGCCTTGTGTAGCAGTGAGGTTCATATTAAGTACGGCCTTTGGCATGTGAACTGTCATGACAACTCCTTCTACTGTTTTCCCCATATTCTGTTTTGGTCCAATGGTAACATCAAATCTTCCTGAAGAACTATTTTCCTTAAAACTGATCATGTGTTTCACATATACAGGAATTGCCACCAAGCTGAAACGAGAAGACAGTAGCTGAATGCATCCTGGCTACTTCTCTGCCTGAGAAAATAAAGCTCTTTCTCATAAATAGTTCTTTTGTTTCTGTCAGGTGTTCAAGGTAGAATTGGTTTGTTTCAAAAGTGAAAAGTGATACTCAGCTTTTCAACATCATTTCTGAATTGATTTTATCAGCAGAGAAATCACAGGAAAGATTTTCTTCCAAATCACTTGTCCTAATCTCCTTCCCTCCATCTGTTTGTTTTTTTTAAGTAATCTCACTGAGCTAATTCTCAGAACAGCCACCAGTCAAATCAGACTTAGTTTGTAAATATCTGCAGTTTAGACCTTTTTGCTTTATTCTTTTTATGAAGATCAGAGTCCTCTGTGTATACAGAGACTTAGCCACAAAGCATCTAGCAGCAACAATGATTACCAGGAATGAATAGCCCTGTATTACTGTCATGTGTGGTTTATCCCACTGAAAAACGATTGCTGAGTATCAGCAGCTCACTGAAAAACAGTTTTCTTGTTTTAGTGCGGACAGAGCAATGGATGAGACAAAACCTGAGAACGTGCATTTTGGCAACAATGCAAATTCCCCCCATAACAAGGAGAAATCTGCAGTTACTCAGACGGACAGCGGTAGATGGTATATCTGAAGAACCAGGGTGTCTAACCGGAAACGTACTTCTGTGAACTGACACGATAGGAGATCAATCTGAAATTCCCATCGGGAGGAATGAATGAAAGGACTCTCTCAGACTCCCAGCGTTTGAACCGAATACATGGATGGAAGCTGACATCATCCAGCAGCCGTGGGTTCTGTAAGTAGTGGCAAAGTGGTAAGTGAAATCTCATCAAGCAGTTTGAACTAGCTACTGAACTCTACTCATTTCCTATTTCTTGGACTCTAAGTATCATTCCTAGCCATTATCTGAGACATGCTACTGAGCTAGATGGGATTCTGATCTGACCTGGTGCAGCAGTTCCTGGGAGTGTATTTTTATGCACAGACAAAAGCCATTCCAACTACTGTGCAATGCAGCAACTTCTACAATGTAATGCAAAACTTGCTATTTTTTGTATGAGTAACACATGAAGTAGTGATTGCGCTCTTGAATTTTTTTAACTCTGATCATTAAGAAAAATAAATCCTGAGCAATTAAAATTCCCAAATATATGCTACATTTACCATGAAAGAAAGAGAAAGATCTGGCA